TTTTTAAACTTTTATTTTAAAAATGATAAAAACTGAACAGCCTACAGTATTTTTACAGTCTTTATTTTTCGATTATATGTTTATCATATAAAGTCTAATGTTAAAACGAATCATGGATCCCTTTAAGAACAACCACTGATGAGTCTGACGTGGTAACGATACTTTGGGTTCCACTAACCTCAAGCTGGATGTTGTGATTCTCTTCAGCCAGATGTATGGCTTTTTCCACCACGCTCTGGTTCTGGTTCTGACAGAGCGTGCAGGTGGAATAAACAATCTCACCACCAGGACAGGTTGTTTGGATTCCCGACCTGCGACGGAGTGGGAGGTGAAAGGTTCATTAATAAATCAAACATTCAACTTTACCTGTCCAGACTGTAACAACCTGAACAGTRATGTGTGTTTGCAGGTGGATCAGTATCAGTTAGGAGATCAGATAGTCGTTATTAGACTATTAACATAAAACCTGTCAGGTTTTGGATGCTTTAAAGAAGSCACTCTTTGCTACAGTAATGAATCCAAAAGTGAGATTTTAGTTGAAAAAGACGACGTGTTTGTAAAATGAAAGACAAACAGATGACATGTTCACTGTGCAGCATGGTGCAGCATGGTGCAGCATGGTGCAGCCCACATCCAGTCCTGAGCTCCTCTCTGCTCCACCTTTAAAGTCTGAAGGCCTTACACAATGTTTTTTTATTTTTTTGACTGCTTTTTCACACTTTTTATTTATTTTCCTTTGGATTTTGGATCCTTTAAAATCATTTTGTTCTGATTTATGTRTCAAATCATGTTATCTTTGGTGTTTTTCATAGATTCAACTAAACAATGGATGGATGGTTCATAGGTCATATATATTTCTGACAGTAGTTTGAAACTGGAGCTTGTTTGCAAAAGAATAAAGAAGCTGAAACATTCAGAGGCCTAAAGTCCTGTCAATCAAGAGCTCTTTAAAAAACGTTTGGCTCCTAGAAAAATGAATGAAGTGCAGCTAAACTTTGGACTAAAGCCTTTCAGTTTTTTACATCTTAGGAACTTAGGATCTTTCCTCCATGACTCCATAAATTAAACTTTGTCAACSGTTTCCAGAATCTTGACAGAATAAAACAATTTGTTAGCAGGTCCAGTTAACTGGTTCTGGTTCCACCACACTTACAGGAGCAGCTGCAGCTGCAGCTGCGGGAGCATTCGCCTCTCCCCAGTCCTGCTCTTACTGAAGATGTTGTTGTCGTCTTCCATCAGCGAGTGTCTGTCTGTGGTGCAGGGAACGTCAACAAGCACCTGAGCTCAGGTAAACAAACAGAAAACAGTGAAACTACAGCAGGAATCCTGACAGCTAAATATCAGCTGAAAACTGTTTGGGATAAAGTGCCCGAAGAACAAGAACTAAGCATAAATATAGCAAAACCAAAGCTAATAGCTAAAAGTAACAACATCTGAATTAAAAAGTTAATTATCAAATCTGTAGCTAAAAGACAAATTAGCTAAATGTAGCTCAATACGCTAACAGCTACACGCTAAAATCAGCAAAATAGACACTAAAAACAGAAATTAATGAAATGATAGCAAAACAAAATATAAAACAGTTCCTAAAAGTTAAAATGAGCAAACCCTTAGCTATTGAATTAAATAAGCAAAATAGTAGCTAAATGCTTAGATTAGCGAAATCATAGCTACAGGATAAAATTAGCAAAATAGTAGCTAAATGCTAAAATGAAAAAAAAAACTAATTTAAAAACAGAAAAGCAAAATATTGGATAAAATCTACAATGAGGAAAAATATTAGCTACAGCAAACAATAGGCTAAATAATAGCTAAAAGCTAAAATTAGCAAAATAGCTATAGGATAAAATAAGCAAAATAGTAGCTAAATGCTTAGATTATCAAAATCATAGCAAAAGGGAAAAATAAGCAAAATAGTAGCTAAAGGCTGAAATGAAGAAAACAAATATAAAAATAAAAAAGCAAAATATTGGCTAAAAACTGAATGAGGCAAACAGCTATAGCAAAAATAGGCTAAATAGTAGCTAAAAGCTAAAATTAGCAAAATAGCTATAGGATAAATAAGCAAAATAGTAGCTAAATGCTTAGATCAGCAAAATAGAAGCTCAAAGCTAAAATGAAGAAAAAAACCTATAAAAATAGAAAAGTTAAATATTGGCTAAAAGCTGAAATAAGGAAAACATTAGCGATAGCATAAAATAAGGAAAAAATAGTAGCTAAAAACTAAAATTAGCACAATAGCTATAGGATAAAATAAGCAAAATAGTAGCTAAACGCTAAAATAAAGGAAACAAATATAAAAATAGAAAAGCAAAACGTTGGCTAAAAGCTGAATGAGGAAAACATTAGCTATAGCAAAAATAGGCTAAATAGTAGCTAAAAGCCAAAATTACCAAAATAGCTATAGGATAAATAAGCAAAATAGTAGCTAAATGCTTAGATCAGCAAAATAGAACTTCAAAGCTGAAATGAAAAAAAAAAACTATAAAAATAGAAAAGTTAAATATTGGCTAAAAGCTGAAATGAGGAATAACATTAGCTATAGCAAAAAAAATTGGCTAAATAGTAGCTAAATGCTTAGATCAGCAAAATAGAACTTCAAAGCTGAAATGAAAAAAAAAAACTATAAAAATAGAAAAGTTAAATATTGGCTAAAAGCTGAAATGAGGCAAAACATTAGCTATAGCAAAAAAAATTGGCTAAATAGTAGCTAAAACCTAAATTAGCAAAACTGTAGTCAGCTTTTCTTGGATTTTGTTGTAAAATAAGTTAAATAGTTTAGTATGTTTAAAATCTAACTAATATATTCCAAATCAAGATAAATGTTTCCATAAATAAGTGCTGAATGTAGCGAGAAAAAGGTTAAGAACAAAACAACTGGAGTCCAGCTGTTTTGTTTTTAACCTTTTTCTGTTTCATCGTGACCTGGATGACTGAGAATCTTCACCGGCATAATGTAGCGAGAAGTGTGCAGACGTAGCTTGATTACAAAACCAAACGTACTGAGGAAACTCTGAACAAGAAAAATGCCTGATTAGTAAACAAACAGGACAGTGAGACKGACTTTGTCAAAGGAGCTCCTCTCTTCATCTCCCCACAAGGTGCCGTCAACATTGGTGACGCGAAGCTTGTTGTCTGTCAGAAACTGCTTGGGGATGTAGCTGTGGAGGACTTGTTTCAGCCGCTTGATTCGGGACGCTGACAAGTCGTTGACACATATAAAGCCTGGGACGTGAACACAGCGTGGACGGTAATCAGCAGAGGAACATCAAAGCAGACTTGGAGAAGCAGAGAATGACTTACCGGCACTCATCATCACCTGGGTCTGAAGTAAAACCAGGCTCTTACCACCGGGAGCAGCACAGAGGTCGAGCACCGCGTCACCCTTTTTAACGTCTAGTGCAAGACAAGGCAACACGGACGCTGCATCCATCAGGTAATAACCCAACAGGCCGAACTGGTCCGGTCTTAACACAGAAGAGGGACCTTAGGTTAGATGAGGCCGACATTACAACCCTTTCAGATCCTGTAAAGCTGTCCTCACTTGGGAGGCTTGAACCGTGTGATATCTCCTCTCTGGAACACGAAGCACTGTAAGTTTGGGCTGAACTGAGGAGGAGGTGGTTGCAGACTTTCAGCCTCTGCTTCTGTCGGTGAAACATGGCTGGATTCATTTTGAGCTCCTCCATCCGAGGTGTGCTCAAATGGTGTCTGGGCTGCAAAACAGATTAGGAAACTGCAAAATACTATCGGCAAAACACAAATCTACTATCACAATCTAAAGGCCTACCATTCCTTGGTCGGTGTCCTTTTTGGTCATTTATTTATTTTTGTTCAGTGTCATGCAGGTATTGAAAACTGAAAAATGGATGGTTATTCTATTTCATACAACATAAATTGGAAAACAAAAACAAAATCAAAAAGAAAAAATCAGTAGGTCCTCTGGATCAGTTCTTCTTTAGTGAAATGTTTCGTCTCTCCTCCAAGAGACTTCTTCAGTCTGATGAGTTTCAGGTGAACTCAGCCTTATAAGCCCTGCCTCCACCTGGACAAACAGGTTAGTCACATGCAAAATAGGAATCAGGGCCCCAATGATACCAACACAAAAAGGGAAAGAGGGACAAAAACAAGGGGACATTGAACCCCCGCTTGCATTCACATAACACGACACGGGTCAGGTGATGGGGCACATGACCCTCTATGAAC